TGCATTGTCCTGCATCATTGGTTCTCAAAGTGCTAAGGAAATGTGGGACAATCTCCGTGAACAGCTTTGCTAGTGTTACTCGTACTAGCATTGTGCAGATGAAAATTGATTTGCAGAATATTCAAAAATGGCCTGAGTCCATTAATCAATACCTTCAGCGGATCAATGATTCTAGAGATCAATTGGCTGCTGTTGGAGTTACTATTTCTGATTAAGACATTGTTATTGTGGCTTTACGGGGTTTGCCATCTGAATACAACATTATCAAAGCTGTCATTCATGGCAAGGAAAATTTGGTGTCTTTAAAAGAACTTAGGTCCCAATTAAAGGCTAAAGAATCTACACTGGCTGAAGTTCACAAGCAAATCCTTTTAATGTCTGCTATGTATGTTCAGGGTGCTCGAGCTACATATGATCCAGGCCAGTCTTCGAGTCATGCTATATTACAAGATGAGACTTTTTTGAATCATTCCCAGATGTCTACGTCTGGTTTTTCACATGTGCCTATGCCTAACTATTCACAACCAGTGCCTGTTTTGATGCTTATGCCTGGTTATTTCCCGTGTGCTTTTCCCTCTCAATACGCTTCTGGTTCCTTTAACAACTTCAGAGGTACTAATACTTTCAAGTCCAAAGGCAAAGGCAAACGTTTTTCCTCGGGTTCTCAGTCTTCCTCACAGTCTCTGTATAGTGCAAATAATTCTTATAACGTTTTCCCTGCTCCATTTCATTCAGGTTCAGCCTATAATCCTTCTCAAATTTGTCAAATTTGCAATAAGAAATGTCATTCTGCTCTCAATTGCTTCCAAAATGGGTGTCAAATATGTCACGGGAAAGGACATACTGCAGCTACTTGTTTTGACAAGAATGCTCCTCCACAATTTCATATGACTGGTTCTTCCTCTCATCAGATGAATGTTCATCCATCTTCTCAATTTGCTTTTGTTGGTGCTCCACCTGGCTATTATTCCCGTGGACCTCAAGTTTAACAACCTGCTTCACATCAAGCTTCTCAGCCTGTAGCTATGCAAGCCAGGGCCAACTTGACTCCAAGTGCACCTCATTAAGATTTTTGGCTGCTTGATTTAGGTGCAACCAACCATATGACTTCAGATATTGCTAATCTTCAAGCTGCAGTCCCTTATCCATCAACTGAGACAGTCACGGGTGCTGGTGGTGAAGGTTTAAGTATTGCTCATATTGGCAACATTGTATTTCCCACCAAATCACATACTTTTCAGCTTAATTTTGTGTTACATGTTCCGCAACTGTTCAAGATTTACTCTCCATGTATCAATTATGTAAAGATAAAACATGTCTCTGTATTGTTGATGAGTTCTCTATTTGTATATAGGACAATGTTACAAGGCAAGTGTTGTATCAAGGACTGAGTAACAATGTAGTATATCCAATTCCAGTTTTCAAGTCTTCCAGATCACCCGTGCTTACTCCAGCTGCATTTTTGGGTCAAAAGGTGTCCTCTGATCTTTGGCATTGTAGATTAGGACATCCTTCCAGTGCTATTACCACTGCAGCCTTTAGGAATTCATCCATTTCTGTTCCCTGTAATAAAGATTCAATTACCTGTATTTCTTGCTTGCAAGGTAAGTTTTCCAAATTACCTTTCCCTGATGTTGCTTCCAAATCTATGTTTCATTTTGAAGTAATACATTCAGATGTGTGGGATCCTGCTCCAGTTGAGTTTTCAGAGGGGTTTCGGTATTATGTGTCCTTTGTGGATGAATGTACTAGATATACATGGGTTTTCCCTATTATCAATAAATCTGCATTTCTATCTATTTTTGCTCAATTTGTTGCCTATGTTCAAACTCAGTTTCATGCTACTGTTAAAACACTTTAGAGTAATAGTGGGGGTGAGTATGTGGGTTTAGCTTTTAAAGCATTTCTTAGAGATAAGGGTATTGTTCATCAAATGTCTTGTCCTTATACCCCAGAACAAAATGGGTTGACTGAGAGAAAAAAATAGGCATTTGTTGGAAACTGCTATTACTTTACTTCAAAAAGCATCCATGTCTTCTTATTTTTGGTTTCATGCTTGTGCTACAGCTTCATATCTCATTAATAGGATGCCCACACCTGTTCTTCATATGAAATCTCCCTTTGAACTTCTGTTTAAGTCTGCACCAAAGCTTGATCACTTGAGAGTTTTTTGTTGTGCGTGTTTTCCTTCCTTGCGACCTTATCGGAACAACAAGTTAGATCCCAAAACTTCAGAGTGTATATTTTTTTGGGTATGCTTCACAATACAAGGGTTATATTTGTTTTTATCTCAGTACTTACAAACTCCTTGTGTGTAGACACATCATATTTGATGAACAAAGCTTTCCCAGCATCAGATTATCATCTTATTCAGCTCCTAACAATGCACCATCTTCTACTTCTAATCCTGTTATTCATCCTAATACTTTTACACATCCTTTAGTCATACCTATCCCTCTACCTCAAGTGTCACCATTCTTAGGTTCTGGAGCTTCAACACCTGCTATTACTCAGTCCAATTCTGCATCAACATACAACACTGGTGACCTTGTCTCTCATGGATCAGCTGCCCAGTATTCTCATTTTGGAACTGATGCTTTTCTAGAACTACATCCTGACACTACATCTTCTCAAGTTGATACACTGCAATCTGTCACAGTTTCCACACTTAACAGTCATCCTATGCAAACTAGATCAAAATTTGGTATTGTGAAGAAGAAAGCTTTTTCAGCCACAGTTGGTGCTGATATTCCTCTCACAGAACTTACAACTTATTCAGCAGCTTCCAAGTCTGTGGAATGGCAGGCTGCCATGAACGAAGAAATGCAAGCCTTAGTTCAACAACAAACCTGGAAACTTGTTCCTCTTCCTCCCAACAAGAACCTTGTAAGCTACAAGTGGATCTATAAAATCAAAAAGAATTATGATGGTTCTATCACTCGGTATAAGGCTAGGTTTGTTGCCAAAGGGTTCTCACAGGAAGCTGGATTGGACTATTATGAAACGTTTAGTCCTGTGGTCAAACCTACAACTGTGAGGTTAGTGTTGTCCTTGGCTGCTACAAATGGTTGGAAACTGAAACAGTTGGATGTTTAGAATGCCTTTCTTCATAGCTTTCTTGATGAAGTGGTGTACATGTCCCAACCACAAGGTTTCCTGGATCCAATACATCCTAAGTATGTGTGTAAGTTGGAAAGGTCTCTATATGGCCTTAAACAGGCTCCTAGAGCATGGAATGACAGATTTTCCAAGTTCTTACTTTCGTTAGGATTCAAGCCATCTTATGCAAATTCTTCTCTTTTTGTTCAACATGTTGGCAGTGAGGTAGTCATCCTTCTACTTTATGTTGATGATATTATACTCACAGGCAGTAATGATAAATTGGTACAATCTGTGATAACTCAACTTACCAAGGAGTTTGATATGAAGGATTTAGGTCTTCTGCATTTCTTTCTTGGTCTGCAAATTAAGTTTGATATGAAGGATTTAGGTCTTCTGCATTTCTTTCTTGGTCTGCAGATTGAGTATCAATCTCAAGGATTGTTGGTTCAACAAACCAAGTATATCAAGGAACTTTTACAGAAAGCTAACATGGTTGATTGTAAGTCGTGTCTTACTTCGTGTCATCCCAATCAAAAGTTGTTGAATCATGGCAGCCTTCCTTTTTCAGATCCAACTTACTATCGAAGTCTTGTTGGTGCCTTGCAGTACTTAACGTTCACACGACCTGACATAGCATTCTCTGTTAATCAGGTTTGTCAATTTATGCGTTCTCCTCTTGAACAACATTTTGCAGCAGTACAGAGGATTTTGCGGTATCTTAAAGGTTCCATACACTTAGGTTTGTGTTTTCGATCTGGTCCTCTATCTTTAAAAGCCTACACATATGCAAATTAGGTTGGTGATCCCAATGACAGAAGGTCAACTACTAGTTTTGTTATTTTTCTGGGTTCTAATTCTGTTTCCTGGAGTTCTAAAAAGCAGTATACGGTTAGTAGGTCTTCCACTGAGGCTGAGTATAGGGCTATGGCTACTACCACAGCTGAGGTTGTGTGGATTCAACAACTACTCAAGGATTTACTTGTTCACTTGCAACTAATCCTGTCCTGCATTCTAAGGCTATGCATATAGAAATTGACTGTCACTTCGTTCGTGAAATGGTTCAACAAGGCTCTATTGTGTTGCAGTTTGTGGCTTATGCTGATCAATATGCCGACATCCTGACTAAAGGCTTATGTTCTTCCCTGTTCAACTTTTTCTCTTCCAATCTCATGCTTGGCTGCTCCAATCATGGGATTTAGGGGGGATGTTAGGTTGATAAATGGGTTGATAAATGTGTTGACGTATCACGTTGTAATTGGGTGTTGTATAGAAATAGTTAGAAGTGTTGGTTCTGCTATAAGCTAAATATACCACTGTGTAGTGTAATTATGATTATCATCTAATGAAAAGAATATTCAGTCTCTCTCTCTAGTTTGTTAACTTTCTCACTCTACAATTACTTTCTGTAAATCTCCATTGTTGACAGTTTTTTTATGAAGATAAATGGATAGTTAAACCGTCGGACAAATGAAGAGTCGCAATGAAGAAGAAGTACGTACGTTGTAGGCCTCGTAGCTCCCTCCCTTTCTGGTGTAGTTGGCCTCTCTTCCATGCATCTTTCATCTTCTGCTTTTGTCAGCCAGTTTTGGCTTAGTTTGAATTTGCTTTCCTTCTTGTTTGTATCGAAGCTAAGCTTCGGCTCTTTGTGTCGGTGCTTTCTTGGACTTACAATTGTATTTCAGCTTCGGTTTTATTAATAAATAAAACAAATATTTGGATAAAAGAAATATAGTTCGAATGTGTTCCTTACGAATTTACCATTGTATTAGGAGTAATGGTAGGGAGATTAAATTTGTAAATTAAATTATGTGTTCCTAATAGAAAATGAGTACGTTTATCAACGTTTAAGTAATAATCATTCAAGTTCTACAATTCTTGGAATCCGATGTGCACAAAGATAAACAAAATACATGGCCTTTCTGAAGTTCTTGTAAGAATTGTGCAATCATGACAATATGTACGTCTTTTTCTCTACTATGAAGGTTGAGAAAACAAAAATACATGGCCTTTTTGGTGCTTCTGGCAGCTTTTAATCTAGAGAACGGATAAATTGTCGTGTTATTTTACATGAAATCTCGCTTTGTGTCGGAGACTCAAAACAACTCCATTGTTGCAGTTCAGTTCCTTGTTATTGTTTCCCTTTTCAGCTTGTATCATCATCTGATTTTTGTGGAGAATGTCTTAAAGAGCAATGCAAATGACATAGTGCAAGAAATACAGTCTTTAAGCAATGAGTTTGAATAGAAACTATAGCCTTTACAGATTTGCTGAACGTCAACTATGCATCTGTAAGAGTTTAGAAATGCTTGATGTCCAAACCAAAGTTTGATTTTCATCTTTAAACAAGAGCTTGATATCTCCACTGTTGCTCCTTAGGCAGATAGAAAAGTTGCCGGAACCCTGAGCTTCCTGTTCTCCCTCCTTCACACGGAAAATCTTATCTGGAAAAATCATAAGAAAACTGTAATTTCACCGAAAAGAAAACGAAAATGAAATCAGAAGTCTTTGATCTTACACTCCTTTCTTGTTGCTAAGAATCCCAGATGCTTCTTCTGGATGCTCAGCATGAGCTGACTGTGCTTCGAGTATATGGACGCCCACCCGTATCTTGTGCTTCCTGCTTCCGCAAACAAGAATTTATCTTCACTTTGTTCTTATAACAGCAACGGGGGTGAAAAATGAGTCTGTATTTTCTTACCAGAAGGAGTGACAACTGATAGCTCGCCTTTTACTTCTAGCAGATTTCGGGTTTTGAGAACATAGGATTCCGCGGTGGCTCTTGCTTTGAGTGCTGCCGCTCCTCTTAAACCTGTCAAGGGATCATTTCGTCAAGTTAAACCTATGTTTTTACTTTTTATGCAGATTCTGGCGAAGGAAACATTCGATGGATTGGGAATCACATGTTGCAGCATCAGCTGTGAGTGTGATCATGTCGCCGGTTGTTTGGATAGCCAAGCCTGAGTTGATGGCAGAAGAAACATGAGTGGTGTGCGCACCCAACGACTCTGCAGCTTCGGCACATACTGCAGCAACCAGATATGCTGCAGAAGCAAGAATGTCGCTTATGATGATGGGGTTGCCATCTTCACCGACTTCTACTGATTCTATGCCGCTCTTGGCAGCTGCAACGCTGGCAATCGCAGCAGCCAAGCGTGTGACAGAGAGAGCCGCGTGAACGCTAGCTGTGTGAATCCGGATATCTTCTTTCTTCTTCAGTCTGTGCTGTCTGAGTAAGCTAGTTAAGGATTTGCTTCCCCACCAAGATCCCCTGCTGGACGTACTGCTCCTACTCTGAAGTGGAAACTCATTCATTACTTCTTGTATCTCCAGTTTTGGATCTTCGAGTTCCCCTGAGCTTAACTCATCGTCCAGCTTTTCGTCTTGTTTGGCTGAACTCCAGTTGTTATGTGACGGAGACACGCCCTGAAAATCATCTTGGTAAGGTAGAATAAAGTAGCCAACTTCACGTTATGCCAAGAAGTGTGATGCATCATATTAGCAAGGAGAAAACGAAAAATGTGAAAATCATATTAGCGAAGGATTTTCTGTTGATACTATAACTTTATTAAATCGGCATAGCTTCTCACAGTTGATGTAAACATCTGCTGGAAGTTAGAGGCAGATGGACTCCACGACCGACAGAGAAACTTCATGGCAAGAATTGCGCTGTGTGGAATCTTCACGTACATTGCTTACCATATAATTAGCAACAAAAAAAGGTTAATTAAGTTTAAATAAAGTCATTGTTTACTTGATTAATTACTTTTTCTAGCTAATAAACTCACTCTGTTAGTTGATTGATATTGCTGGGTTTTGAAGGAGACTGATCTGCCTGGTCCAACTGTCCTGTGTAATTCCTCCATGAATGCTACCTGTGCTGTGACTGTGCAATAACAGACCGTAACACGTCGAAAACCTAACAAAATAAAGGTTTTTTTTAGTGAAGATGGCTCTAAAATTGTTATAACTCTTCACTTTGGGTTCTGAGATTTAAAATTAATAGAATTGGTCCCTCAAATTGTGCATCGTCAATCACTTTGGTCATTATGTGAAAAAATCTCCGTTAAATTGAGAAACCATCAGTTTAAATGGAGGGCTTGATTTGACAAAAATATCCTTAATTTAAAGGAGATGTTTCACGAAATGACCAAAACGATTGTCGGTGGACAATCTTAGGGATTACTTTTATCAATTTTAAATCTCAAAGACCAAATGAAGAGTCTCTCAGAGACCATTTTGGCTAAAAGCCTAAAATAAAATACAATACATAATGAGTTACTCCACTACTAATAGCCTTGTATCATTTTATGTAAAACTCCATACCTTAAGTTAAGAACAATTGGTGTTGATTAGTAGCGTGTCGTTGGTCATCTCTCCCAAATCTTACTATAAAGATTACCTGGCGTACCAAAAGTATTAATCTAAGTAACAGGAGAGTTGCTTAAATAAGAAACCTCATCATCTCGTGGAATGCTAGTTGTGTACATTTTTAATTGTTTTCGTGGAAGGTTGGGAACGAGGGAGGATGAAAACTGTGACAGTTTCCACAAATAGACCATAGTTTACTCCCCTAGTATATACAAGTAGTTCTATTTAGGGTTGAGGATCTCGTGGGAAGCAAGAAAGATGACCAATTGCTTCATCTTGTTCATAATAAAACGGGACTCTGTCACGTTCCATTTTCATTTTGCCCAATCGTTGTAATGGCTGCACATGCACATATCTGGGGGGAGATATATTACAATTTTGATGCACTTGTGGTCCTTCAGGATGTTAGGTAGGATGTTAGGTAACAATGAGTGATCATCTAATATCATTGATTTTAAAGAAATAGGCCACAATTTAGTACTAATTTCAAAGACGTTTTCGTTCAACTGGAGTCTTATTATCTGCATAGTGCGATAACGACAGTTTTATCACAAAAGAGTTCCATGTTGTTAAAAGTTTTGTCTATTATTTTATGTAAGATTTTTTGTATTCTCCAACACCCAAGCCATAGAAAACCAGTTTGTGGATTCCAACAAAGTATTCATGATGAGTTTTTCTCTTTTATTTTGGTCCTTTGGTGCAATTAAATGTTGACTTAGGGTATTGTTTATGGTTCAAATGAAATGGGAGAGAATTTGAATTACTTTCACATAATTAAATATGAGACCTCAAATGCAAGAACAAATCACTAAAGTTATAAATATTTTTCTTTCGATACCCTTGTTAAATATGAGTCTCCCTTCGTTGTAGTTTACTTCTTGTTTGATGGCATCTTGCTTTGACTTAAAGTTACTCGTTTAGAAGTGCTTTTAAAATGGTTGAAAACCCTTTTGATGAAAATATTTTTGAAACCAATCCTTGATAAAAATGCAAATAAATTCTAGAAAAGTATTTAAAGTTCTTCCTAGCACTAGTAGAAAAAACAGCTTGCGCGACAAACAATATTTCGTTGCATAAGTGTCACTTGCGCAACGGAAACACATTTTGGTAGTGCAAATATCGAAGGAATTCAAAAAAATAAAAATAAAAACTTTGCGCGACAAACGTATTTGTTGTGCAAAGTTTCGCTTAAAACAGTTAGTTACCCATTAAACGCTTCTATTTAGTGCGCATTTATAACACACTTTGCACGACCAATGGTTCGTCACGCAAAGTGTTACAGCTTTTATATAAACATAGTTTTAGAACCCTAGTTTTCAAAGGTTTTGTTTCAAACAATGATAGATTCAGTTTTTGATTCAACGAAAAGTTGCGAGGGAGAAAGATCTCATGAAGGGAAAGGTAAAAAAAAAAAATTATTGTTGAATTAGATGTTTTACATTTGATATGGTTGAAATTATTTTTTAATAGTCTATTACTTTTAAAATTTTGTGGTAAAAAAAAAATGAGGAAAACTGTGTTGAGAATAGAGAGGTACCGTCGTAAACGATTGCCCTCCTTTGATGACAAAAGTAGGGCTGATGCGTACGCCGAACTTAGGTTTGATATAGGGGGATTGGTGCGGAACCAATGTTCTATTGAGTTTAAGTCTTGGAAAATGTTGCTTGTGGAGTTGAAGAACTCCATGGTGCAGGAGTTATTGGTAAGTTTGTATTAAAGAATGTGTAATTGTTTTTGTTAAGAAATGATATTTTCGTGATTACTAATTTATTTTTATTGCCATTAATGGTTGTTTGGGATGTTGATGAAACCGATAAGAAGCAGCAGAAGTATCTGGACAACCTTTTCTAGATGTCGTTCCGGCAATGGAAGTTCGATGTACATCTGGCTGCAAAGTGCGCACGAGTTGACGATACCCCTGCTGATGACCCAGAGGAAGAGTGAACTTTATTTGTTGTTTTTTTTTGTTTATGAAATAAGATTTATTTGAACGTTATGTTGGACTTTATTTTAAAATTTTATGTTACATGGATAGCTTAATTACATTAGTTATAATATATATTTTTTTTAATAAATTAGTTTTAATAATTATTTTGGTTTGATATTTTTAATTGGATAAAAAAAATTACATTAGTTAGAAAAAAACAAAAAAAAATTTAGAAAAAAATAATGCCACTTGCGCGACGAATATAGTGTTCGTCTTTTACATTATTCAATTACAAAGAAAATGAAAAAGAAAATTTGAGAAAAAAAATTGAAACTTGCACGACGAATATAGTGTTCATTGTGCAAATTATTTAAAATTACAACTTGCTCAATGAATACTATATTTGTCACGCAAAGTAATTCTTCCAAAAGTAATCCTTATAAAGTGACTTTAGCTGCAGAGGCAGAAACTGAAGAAAAACTGTAGAATCCACCTCTGCACCTTCTTTCCCTTCGTTTTCTTCAATTCGGCGTCCCTCGTTCCTATTTTCTCTCAAAGTGTCAATGTCAATTCATACTAACATCGTAAAGTTCATTGCGTATAGGGATATTATGTGTGACTAACGCTCGGTGGATAACGATTTGGAAGGTATTTTCTTCATTTTATTTTAAAAAATATAAATTAGTCAAATTATGTTGTTATGTTTATATTAAGTTGTTAAATTATATTTATATTATGTTGTTAAATTTTTTATGTTATAATTATGTATATGTTGAATTGTATATGTACAAATTTGTACATGACATACAAATATGTGTTGTGATGTACAAAGTTAATTGAATTTTGAATTGTCCCATTATTTGGACAGTTTGGGAATGCAAAGTTATGATGCGTAGTTTACGGTTAAAGGATTAGATTTCAGTCGTGGGGATTTCGATGTCATCTCTGTACGTTCTTCGGGTGGCACATAGGTATTTCATACCTATGTTGTGCACTTGAAGAATTGTACAGAGATGTTGCCGAAATTTCTTCATGTCGAAATCTAATCTAAAGTAGCCGTAAATTTCATGACATAACTTTGCATTCCCGAATGGGATAGGGCCCTTACCGCATGCATAAGGTGACAAGATCATGATGAAGTTATTGTGATTGTTGTACTGTTATTATGGTTGCAGGAATGATGGACATAACGTGGATGCAGAACCCAAACAGATGCGCCAACGAATACTTGGACGGAATCGATGATTTTATTGACTTTGCATGTACACACAACCCGGATGCAACTAGAATCCGGTGTCCTTGTAGGAGGTGTAACAATACGTTAAAGGACACTATTGAAAATGTTCGATTTCATTTAGTAAGGAATGGAATGGTACAGACTTATAATATTTGGAACCATCACGGGGAACAATTAGACAATGCTTTGTCTTCAAATGTGACAAGAGTGTGCAATGTTGAACCTAATATGGATCCTAATGAACAAGTCATGGAAATCTTAAATGACGTCTTTCCATTTGAGTTGACAAATACCAATCAGGAAGGGGAATATGACGTGTTTACACCAATGGACAGTGCATAATTCGAACAATATGAAAAACTATTAAAAAAATGCCAGCTAAGAGTTATACCTGAGGTGTGAGGGCTTTTCGGTTCTCACAGCTATTGTGGAACTAATGCACGACAAAATAAAGTATCGTATGTCAAACCAGTGTTTTGATTACTTTTTTGGGGTTTTCAAAAGAATGCTACCAAAGGACAATTGTTTGTCGAAAGACTATGGAAACACTTAAAAAGTGAATGGTCTCAGATTGGGTTATGAAAAAATTCACGCTTGGCAAAACAATTATATATTGTTCTATAAGAAGAATAAAGCGTTGGATAAATACCTTGTATGCTATGAGTCGAGGTTCAAAATGACATCTCAGCGACGAAGATCCCATAAAAAGTCATGCGTTATTTGCCTTTGAAGCCTAGGTTGCAGTGATTGTATATGTCAACGTATACTTCCACCAACATGAAATGGCATAAGGAAAAGCGGGTAGATGACGATATGATGAGGCATCCTGGAGATGGGGAGGTATGGAAAGAGCTCGATCAAACATTCCCTGATTTTGCTGTTAATCCTCGAAACGTTAGATTAGGACTTGCCACTGACAAATTCAATCCATTCGGGGTTCTAAACCAACACCACATCACTTGGACAATTTTCGTATTTTCGTATGATTTATCACCATGGATGAAAAAAGAATACATGATAATGACTCTATTGATAACAGAGGATCCTGGTAGGCCAATCAATGTATACTTAAAGCCGTTGATGGATGAGCTAAATGATTTATAGACACACGGTGTGCGCACATACGATAAGTGTATTGGCAAGATGTTCACTTTGCAGGCAGTAGTGATGTGGATTGTGAACAATTTCCCCGCATATGCAATGGTTTTTGGGTGGAACACTAAGGGTTATATTGCAATGCCCTGTATGCAAGGACGGCGTAACATCTAGTTGGTACGTCTGAAAAGTTTGTTACCTTAGTCATTGAAGATGGTTGTCATGGGATCACGAGTGGCGAGAGAATGATAAAGAGTTCGACTGGAAAATAGAGCCTCACCTCAGACCTAGAGAATGGTCAAATGATCAGATTTTGGAACAACTTA